TTGAGGTATTAGACGTGGGGCCCACTGCAAGGGACGTCGTTGGGGAGGCCACACCATCTGGTGAAACAATGAGTCGGCGTCAAAGGGGATGTACTTGGCGGAGAACCCGACACCCGTGGGACTATGAGGCATGGTGACGGGCCTCGTCGCGGAAGTTCTCGTCCGCGGGCCGGTGATGCTTGAGCGGCACCACGGTGGCGAAGGGGGTGGGGTCGAAGGAGGTGGCGGCAGCGTGGACTGTGAGGGTGGATGGGGAAGCGGCGTGGATAGCGGGGTTGGCATGGGACGGAGGCTGGGAGCCGCCGTTATTGTTGAGAGGAAGAGGTGTGAATTGTGGGCTATGGGGAGTTTTTTTTTTTTTAACTCGAAACAATAAATTCCCCTGTATATATAATTTCCGAATGCGCTGAGCTTACATGGCTGCTTCTGGTGCTTCGGAATCCTACTTGTCAAAGAATCATGCTTCGTAATTAGGTTTGAACAATATTGATATATTAATAATTATTAGTCTAGGTTCAGACATTCCATAAATATTATTTAGCTAACTTAGGTATTTTAATATCACTTGTACTAATATAACCCTTTAATTCTTTGTAATTTTACATAATGGGACACTAAGTGACTAATATATCCATGACTTTTGATTTGGTTCATTCAATTAGCCATTGAATTGTAAATGCATTTTAAAAGTTGATAATTTTTATATTTCTTATCGGTTTTACATATATAATATATCAAATTAATCATCTTTTGGTGATATTTGATTTAACATTCTACATTGTATATATGAAATAAATAAATTATATTTATCTTTATAATAATAATAAATAACAATATTTATTAAAATTTATTAGAAGAATAAATTATTTCTCAAGTGATATATTTATGTTTAATATAGATATTTGGTGTAAGTTAAAAAAATATTATAATATAACACAGGTAATTCGCACAAATAAAAAGTGTCATACTAAATATCTAATAATATATATATATTTATAAAAGGTATTTAAACTTTTTTACTACTTTTTTTCACTAATTTTAGATTTTAAGAAAAAAATTAGCAAGCGCTCGTGTAATACACGAGCGTTGTACTAGTATATATTAAAAACTTAAAAAATAATACAACCGAGATGTCAAAGGACACCACAAAAGTCAGAACAAAGTTTGGATCTAACCTTCCATGGACCAGGGACCAAGGGTACAAACACCCGCAAAAGAACTTCATAAAAGAGACAAAATAACTCCAAACTGGAGACTAAAACCAGATGCAGTTGGACTGAAATGAGAAACTATACAAAAACACACAAAAACTACAATGCACCTAAACAATACAATAAAGCCTTCCTCACTTCCAACCAACAACTCCCCAACCTCCCCCGTAACCGAAGACATCCTCAAAAAAGGCAGATCAGGCTCCGTCACAGATCTAGAAACTCCCTACTCCACAACTCTAAGGCTAAGGCTAACTACACCGGTGACGACAAACTGAAATCTCCATCAAAATGCATGAGATTACAACGACCAGTACATACACGCCGATTTCCCCCACTGAAAACAACTTGGAGCCCAACAACTATCATCTCCTCCGGCATAACTTCGGAAGCCACAACCCAAACATCCGAAGACGAAGGAGCCTTGCCGAAGGAACTGTCCATCCCCAACCCAGTCGGGCAGAAAACGGGGGAGAAAGGCAGTGCCATCCTTGGCTCTGCCCGCCGCCAAAGCTGCGAGAGGCACCACCACAATCGAACATCTTCGTCGAGTCATCGGCAAGACCTTCGGAGCTACCCATCGGGGAAGAAGCTCCAAAAGAGAAAGGGACTGAAAATAGACGGGGGGACGAAATCTGCTCAAGACCGATAGTAAGAAATGAAAAAGAGAAGAAATGGAAGAGAAAAAAAAAAAATATAAAGTCAATTTTGGTGATTAATACACTTAATTTACTCACTTCATTTACTTTGACGACTATTACTACAAATATAAGTTTTACTACTACTCAAAGGATTAATATGTACCATATGTAGTACAATTGACATTAAACAAAGGAGTAATTATGGACATGAGATACAGTTCTTCACTGTTGAAAGAGTCTCACTGCAATCGTATGTGGACATGGCCAAAATACGGGCCGGGGCCAATCCCTGTCTCGATAGGCCACTAGGTTTTAAAACATGGACCTGGAACCGGCCCGTACCTAGGCTCGTGTCAGGTCGATAGCCCGACCCGAGTCTGGGGCTGTCCAAAAAAAATAAACAAAATATATGGTGATTTTTTGGGCCGGACCAAACCCAATCCGATCCAGCCCGCCGAACGAGTGTCTAAAAAACATGGCCTTAGACCGGCCAGCTTACAATCCAAGCCGAGTCTAGACCCGTAGTCAACAGGTTTGACCGGGCCAAAGCCGAGTCCGACGGGCCTACTGCACGTGGCCACCCCTAACCATATGAGCTATCAGTATAACTATACAAGTTTGACATTTATTTTAGCGAAAAAAAAAAAAAAAGGCAAAGAAAGAGTAACAAAACTAGAGTGGTGACAAAGAAAAAGACTGAGTGGTGAACAAGAAAAAGAAAAGTGACTGGGACGTGTGGGTTATGGGCCACACTTTCCGCTGCACCAGTGTGATTTGTTGAAACTAACTTCCACATTTTGTAGTCAACATATTCTTAAATGCTCCTCACACATCAAACTCGAGTTAAGTGTTCACAGTATCACATGAGAACAACGCTGTGAAATTGCAAAATATGCTTCCTTTCATTCACTATCTTCTACACTAGAACATCAACAAACACTACCATAAAATAAAAAAAAAAAAAAAAAAAGACCCAAATATTGCAGTAACAGTGAGCTAAAAAATCCGACCCTTCTTGCTTCCTCCAGTAAGAAGTTTGAAAAACGGATCATCGTTTTTCTCAACCTCGTCCTTCTCCAAGGGTTTCGAATCCAACAACTTAGATTCGTTTCTAGCAGAAGATGGCGCTGGTGGTTTAACAGACACAAATGCAACCCTTTCCCTCTTACTGTTTTTAAGTTTCGGTGGACTGGCAACAAGAGGTTTGCTCCAACTAGTTGGCAAGCCACCTTCAGTAATGCACAAATTTTCCTCAGCCGGGTTTTCATCATTCGACTCAAAGATCATTCCCGCTGATAGATTCTTGTTGGTTAAGACATCTTCTGAGTAAGCTAAGGTTTCAGCTGAAGGTCCGACTATGTCTGAGGTGCTCTCTTCAATAAGTTTCTCGTCACTTGTTATCAAAGGAATGTCGTCATCTTTTTCAATGTTAACTGGAGTGGCTAGACTAGGCTCCAAAGCTGCTGCAACACCAGATACATCAACTACACAAATAAAGGAAAAATTATGAGATTAACCCAATGATGCTCGATAACTAAATTGGGACACCAACAAAGAAAAAACACACACGAAAAAGGGAAAAAAATAACTGTTTTATCTCAGAGTCACAAATAGTTCCTTTAGCAATAAATAAATACACCCACTGGACATTTGTATTTACGGAACACGTAAGACAAACATATTGGATGCACAAAGGTTGTTGTGAGCCAGCCTAAAGGTAAGGCCGGCCAATACTTTTTGAATAAAAATGCTTACTTGTATTTTGAAAAATCACACATTTTGTTTATGCTGTTTCATAAAATATGGCATCTTATTTTGAAAGTATGCATATTTGTTAAAAATGTATGTCCATTAATGGTTAGGCCTACCTCACAACAACCCTACTAATATTAATGGGGTATATGTTATTTTAAGAAAAATGTGGGATAATTTCAAGATATGGAGTATATAATTTCAAGATAGAATAACCATTTGAGGTTAGTTTTTTTTTTTTTTAAATATCTTTTACCTCCGAGTAAAGCCTCCACGTTTTCATATTGTATTTCTGATGTGCCCAGCGGAACATCTTCCAGTAGATCCTTCTTTTGCGCATTGGAGTCACATTTATGCTTCTGCTCGACTAACAGATACTTATCTGTCTGCCAAACACATTCTAGCATTACTGAAGCTTCCTCATTTCTTGGATAATATTCCCGGAAAACCTGCATAAAAAGAAAAGGCCTACCCATGAGCAAAACTGCAAGATAAGAACAGTCCTAGTGGATAAATGCCAATATATAGGCAAGTAACTAACCTCAAATCCTTCTTGATTTAGCTTCACAGACTGTTCGCTTTGTGATATGGAAGAAACGGTGTTGTAAAGAAGAACGGCATCAAGAAGCATCTGCAGATGTGAAGGAATTGTAAGCAATTGGAAGCTGCACACACAATTCAGTTCCTTGAAGCTTTAGCCATACACTATTACCAAATCTCGGGAAAGAAAAACCAATTCTTTTTCTATCTCAAATGCTCTCTTAACGATTAGTTGCATGACAACATGTAATCATAATATTAAAGAAAAATAGCAACAATTATAAGAAGAAAGAAAATAAAATATAGCAAAAAGATCATAATATGCTTACTGTGTTACTCATTCAATCCACGTAATATCCATGGCAATCATCAAGATTATACACCAATAGAAAAATAAAACTTAATCGATATATCATGACCACAGCCACAGGTCCATAGTTACGGCAAGCACAGTTAAAAAAGTTGAAAAACACCATAACTTACTTGTTGAACCAGTACTCGGATGCGTGCAAGCACGGCCAATGTCGTCAGTGAAAACTTCATGAAAAACGAACGCGCAAGAAGTGTTGACAGCTCCCTTTTCATTGTTAAGAGAAAATATGTTTTAGGTCTTTGGATTAAGTTGGTGGGTTCATATAAAAATGTTCACAAGGACAAAACTGTGTCCAAAATTTAAAAAACAGCTTTCTTTTTTATGTCAAAAGTCTTTCTTTCATGTTTGAGGCATTCTTTAAAGAATATACATATTAAACAGCCGAAACAATGAGGATACATAGCCGCCTTGAGCAATGGCTCAACTATCTGCAACAATATGACAAACAGTTGAAGAAAATTAGCAAAAATTAGCTTGACTATACTAAAAGTTAAGCTCAAAGGGTGGAAAAACTACCTGTGACAAGAGGCGGGTGATTCCTAAAAGCTTCTCCAAAAAATTGAATTTTCCAGCTCCACATTTTCTCTTCTTCAAACTGAAATATACAAAGGGATAAGACTAACAATAACAACTATAGAAACACACAAGAGCATGATAAAAATAATTATAAAACTTCGTCCACATTGATATTTGACTAGTGCTATCAATTCTGATCATCTTTTCACCACCAGGTAAACTAACGAAGGCTGTGGCCTCGTTTCTTCGAATATGAAATGCATTCTTGGCAAAACATGGTTGAAATATGTCCACACTCCACCTGGAACTCCATGCTCCTGGCCTGTCTACTCTACACTCAAACTTCTGCTAATACGAAGATATGCTGATTTTGGAAAAGCACGTAATAAAATATCAAGGATTTTCTGCAGAACAATCACACATTCTATCAAGTTTGTTTCACTTCAAGTACATCCGAGATCCCTGGGGAAGAGGGTCACCATAAATATGGAACAATGCTAGTAAAGATTTTAACAGCAACAAAAAGGAAAAGAATAAAGGACAATAGGTTGGTAACAAGATGTTGCAGCACCTTTCCAAAAGTTGAACCTTTTGCTTTGGCCGGTTCCCATTGATCACGAGAAAAGAAGAATTAAATATGTCCTCCACATTTGCTGATATCAGAAGCTTCAAATCCCTTTTCACCTGTCCACCACAAACAACGGAAGACCATACTCAATACTCACAAATTCCAGTCCCGCATGCACCCTCAATCATCTACACATGCGCAAGCATTATCAAGGCTTCCTACCTTGAGAACATACTGAAAGTAAGAGCATCTGCGGTGTTGGTTCTTGTGTTTATACACAAGCCTCTCGAGTATTCCAAACTCTGTCTGGAGCTGACCGGTAAAAGATTTCAATCTCTTTTCAATTGTTTCCATATCTGAAGCCATGGGTACTGGATGTGGAAACAAAACAAGCCTTACATAAAACCGCAAACACTTTCCCCTGTCAGAGGCATTTTATTAAGCACGAAGAGAGCAAGAGCAAACAACTCTTTCAACAGTGACTGGAATGGGAAATTCCGTATCTGGGTAAAATTAATAATCTATGGTTACCGCTTGGTAGTTGATATTACCTCGGCCCAATTGGGGCCTCAATTTTTTTCCAGTCCCAATATTTTTATAAAAGCATCAGAATGAGAACTCAAAGTGCTAAACGAGTTTCATAATTCACGGAATGACTTGAGATGCACACACAAATCATAACAAATTGCATAATCAAACTGTTCAAACACGCAAGTCAAGTTCATGTACACAATCACATATCTCAAGCACATATCTCTAAAACGGACTCTAGAGGTGGCTCTCATAACGGAACACATTGTTCCATTACAGAAACTAATGGTGGCTCAAGCACGTACCACTTAAGGGTGATTGTTTATCAATTC